TGGTCTCTATAACCTTACCACTATGAAATGGTGCAAAACTAGTACATACTAGACTTAAATCTAGATTTGTAACAAGTTAAACTTAAGTTGAATTAGCACCCGTGGTTATATAGCTTCAGCAAACTGAGGTTCTTTGTCATCAAATGCAACATTATACTACAATTACTTACTGAGGAAGGCAAGAAAGAAGCTTGAAAATGAAATATAAAAGATTTCTATTTCCCAGTAACTTCCAAGAAAGCCAGAAATTCCTGGAGCAGCACAAACCAGTCTATTGCACACTATCTCTAAAGCATGTGATCCATATCCGCCATTCCAACTAGCTAACAAATTCCATAAAGAAATGAAAGTTGTCTTGAAGAGCATACTACTAAGTACATGGAATTTTATATCCACGAGTTCTACTATGATTTTCTATATCAACAAACTCCCATTTACCTAAATCAAATTACTTTTATTTCATGTCAATAAACTGCAAATATGACTGTGTCTTGTATTCACAACCCACCCCTAAGGAATATGCCGTGTGTCTGGAATCTTATTTTTACTGTATTAAAGCAGTACAAGGGAAACATTACCATATAAATGACAAAAATCAAGGAGATTCACAGGCATAAGTATAGCATAAACTTACTGTTCAGAAATGTGACTTGTTGTCCCATCTAATAGTAGGTGAAAAGTGCCAGGGGAAATTAATAGACAGCACAGGTATACTGCCAGAAAATTAACAGGCAGCTCATGTCTCCTATTCCCAACCCAACAAAACTTCAAGATTTTACAATAGTATGAACTACCAATCTTTTTTCTCTTTTTTAAAAGACTTCTTGGGATAAGGATTCCATAAAAGCTTTCTTCAGTTGATGCCTGGCCCAAATATATACACTATTAAGTTTTTTTAAACTGTCTACATAAACATAGATACAAATTAGTATTATCATTAAAGGAGGCTAGAATTGATAAATTAAAATTTAAAAACCACAAAAGAAAAAGTTTTTCTTGTTTTTAAATATTTTAATGGAAACATGTCTAGTCAGATTTCCAAAACTGGGCTAACAGTGTTTAAACATTATGGGAGTATGTTTGAGAAGTTGAATGAAATAAACAAAACAAAAGAAGTATCTATCTTTCAAAAATAAATGTGATACAATAAAGAAAACTTTATTCTAAAATGATTTCAATTTATTGACCAAGCTACATGATAAAGAAAAATCATTTCAAATTATGTTCTTCACCTTCACAGCAGTGTTTGAAGTTGATGGGCTCTCCCAGAGAGCATGGGAATTTTAAGCAATTCTAAATTAGCCTTCAATTTCTCTATTTCAAATTAATGTGATGACCGGTTATAGTTAAACAATCATAAATTCTGCACCAGCGGAGAAATATTTAATTTTTTCTTCTAGGGGGAGTGTGTAGGCGTTTGCATGCACGGGAGAGCTAACCCCTCTTGCCCTCTGACCAGTGTTGCCTGTTCTAAGTAAATGCTTCTTCCTATCCCCGAAGCTCTTTTTTTTTCTTTTTTTACTGTCTTTTTTTCATCTCTTCTGCACTTAAACCCGGGGCCCCCAAATCCTGGCTTGTCCCTTCACCCTTGTCCAATCCCATACAGTTCCCCCAATTTCCGCGCGGGGTGACACCTGAGGGCCGAGTGCGAACCCCTGTGGCTGGCATTAACTAGGCGCGAATAGGGCGGACGGCTGTCACTGGGGAGCAGGCGTGGGCCAAAGGCGAGGTGATTTCTGACTGCTCATCGCCCAGCCCCGCGTGGCTGAAGGTCTCAGAGCCCCTCTGTTCGTCCCGGCAAGCCAGGCGCGCAGCTGTCGTGGTGCAGGAAGCTAATCGCGGCCTCAGGGCCGCTTTGACAGGCCGGGCAGGAAAAGAAAGAGGCTCACTGCGACTAGTAGCCTCACCCCTCCGGCTAGGAGACCTACAGAACGAAACCTCTGCCACGGCCCGCAGGCAAGCGAGAGACCTCGGGGCCGCCACCACCGACTCAGCCCAGCCCAGCAGGGGCCCGCCCAGGGGCCACTCCCCAAGTGAGGCAGCCAGTCACTCGCCCGCCCTTCCGGGCCCGCTCCGGAGGGGACGGTCTCCCGCCCGCCCTCACACAGCTATCTCATCAGGCCAGGCCCCCAGGGCTTCGTCCACCTCTCACCTTTGACGACGCGGTCAGCCCCGGGAGGGGGCGGCGGGGGCGGGGGTGGGGGCGGTGCAGCCCGGGCCGGCTCCGGGGCGGCCATGCTGGGCCCGGGGCTCGGCTAGGCGCTGGGCCGGGCGGGGCTGGGGGCGGGGGCGGCGGCTACCAGAGCCAAGCGGCGGCGCCGCCGGGGAACATGGCGGACCCTCTTTCCCTACAGAGGGGCTAAGACCGGCATGCACCGCGCTTGCGGGGGCGGGGGCGGAGCAGGCTCTAGGGACTTGAGCAAAATTACTGAAGCTAGGAGAGAAACAAGACCATGCCAAGGGATCAGCTTAAAATTCTGGGCAAGCAGAAATTAAAAAAAAGTGAGGAGAGATGATTGTCTGTAGCTAGTTCCTGCGGTGAACGAGTGCTAGAGAACATGACACCGGCTTTCATGGATCGCCTAGAAAGATGGGGAGACGTGACCAAACCTAAGAATCTCCCACAAATAGAGAAAAAAAAAGTATAACAATTTGACTATCAGATCCGGGTAACTGACATAAGAATTAGAGGAAGCATTGTAGGTTTCTAGAGCGAAGCAACGGTTCAGAATGGAGTTTGAGAGACAATCTGGCCCTTGTGTTTAGAGCCTGCAATTGTCAAGAGTCTGAAAGCACAAAGAATGCAGGTAGAGCCGACTAGGCTCTAAGGGTTAAGAATCAAAACAGGTAAGAGGAAAGGAAGAGTTTTGTCACCGAGATGTTCATAGAGTCTACGAAATTCATCTGAAAAGGACACAGCCTCCCTCCTGATTCACTGAGAAAGGAGAGATTTCGAAGGCAATGGGGAATTGGAAATTAGTAAGAAATACCTCTACTGCAAGGAGATCCAACGAATCCATCCTAAAGGAGATCAGTCCTGGGTGTTCATTCTAAGGACTGATGTTGAAGTTGTAATTCCAATACTTTGGCCACCTGATGAAGAGCTGACTCATTGGAAAATACCCTGATGCTGGGAAAGATTGAGGGCAGGAGAAGGGGACGACAGAGAATGAGATGGTTGGATGGCATCATCCACTCGATGGACATGGGTTTGGGTGGACTCCGGGAGTTGCTGATGGACAGGGAGGCCTGGCATGCTGCGGTTCATGGTGTCACAGAGTTGGACACGACTGAGCGACTGAACTAAACTGAAGAAATACCTCTACGGTAGAATGTGGGCCCAGGTTTTCTATGGAAACTTTAAAGATGTACCTTCATGGGGAAGGGAGTAGCGGGACAACAAATGATTGTTCAATCAATAATTATTAGAAGAAGAGTATGTGTTATGACACCAGGAGAGGTACTCGATCAGTAGCACGGATCAGAATATCCTAAGATCTATGTATATATATATATATATTTTTTTTTTTGCTGCACCTAGAGGTATGTCAGATCTCAGTTCCTCAGATCAAACCGGTGCCCTATGCAGTGGAAGCGCGGAGTCTTAACCACAGGACTGTCAGGGAAGTTCCAGATCTATATTATCTTGATGGCACAGAATTCAAGTAGGATAGGGTGAGAAATGCCTGCCCATCTGCCTGCTCAATACTACATGGCTCAGAATCTGTTCATAATGGTGATAATTAGGCAAGCAATAGTCCAAACGACTCAAAGACCACCTTTCTACCTCTTGACTGGTCAATCTTAATGATCCTGAGAGCTGGAATAATCTAAAAGAAGAGAAATGCCCAGTGGGTAATGTTTGCTAAGGGAGCTCACATATTATTTTTTAGAGGGAGATGAATTTTCAAGTGAGGAAGGGGTGAAAATGGATCTTTCTGACATGGAAGTGCCATAATTCTGGAGGGAAGGGAAGGCGCAGCCACATGAAGAGAGCAAGGGAGGGACAAGAGGCACATGAGAAATGTGTAGGGGGGGGGCACCAAGAGTCCCTAGGTCAGGAGTGAGTTTGTAAGAGGGGTCTGAATCCCAGAAAATCTCCCTGAGGAGGCAAGGAGAGTGTATGAAAGTGTTGAGTGCCTCTTGGCAGGAAAGGGATAGAAAATATACCAGCAGCAATAACAACAAGGAAAGTCACTCCATATTAGGACTCATTGACTCCTACCTTGAATACATACCCTTCAACCAGTCTTCAGCTCCTTGGGGCCTCACTTTCACTCAGTCAAAAGCCATATACTGAGCCCCAGGCCACTGGGAATTGGTATTTCTTGCTTCCCCAGCCCAATACAAAAGAGCAAGAAAATACAAAAGGAATCAAATAGACAATTAAATGACAAGGAATTAAATAGAACTATCTTATAGATTTATTAATGAAAAATACTTTACAAAAACAGTATGTTTGGCCCTAAAATAGTTCAGCTGACTCTGAGGGTTTACAGCGGCGACTGAGCAAGTGGCAGTAATGGCTGTGCTGCTGAGGACAGGAGGGTATGTTAGTGTGCCTGACTCCCATCTGTTCCGAAGAGTAAATGTTATGTTGGCAGCCCCACATTCTAGGCCTAAGGTTTGGCGGCTGAGGGAAGGCTGACAGGCTGGGCAGGTGGGCTAGCCTGAATGATGTGGTCAGGACCAAGACCACAGGGCTACATGTCCCTCCAAGGATGAGGGATGGAGAAGACAGAAGGTCAGATAATAGGGGTAGGTGGATAAAACAAAGCATAGAAGTTGGTAATATAACAGGGAACAGAATATGAGGGCTTAGAGTATTCAAGAATAAAATGGTGACCCTAAGATCCTAAGGAATGGCTAGTGTCCGGAGTAACATGGATTCATCTTTAAAGTGGATCAAATAAAACCCTACACAGCAGCTGCTTCCTTTTGCTAGGTGAATGGAAATTGGAGTTTCAAATATTCCCTCAAAGCCAGGTCTCCTTAGGGGTTCCTGGCACCCCTGGGAGAAACTGCCAACTCTGTGTTGAGATAAGACTTGCACAACCTTGGCAGGGATGCAGGGTACCAACTCTGCTGCAGTACAGCTTAACAGAGAAAGCTGTGGCTCCAGGAGAGGAAACGGGTGACCTTTACCACCTGCCCTGCTGCAGGGCTCTTCCCCTCATCTGTTCTCTGCCAGGGGCATCTGCTAGGACAAAAAGAAACTCCTCTCTCCCTGTCCTCCTGTGTCTAGATGGCAGGGCATAACTGCTTTGCCTCCAGTCATCATCTGGGGGCATATCTACTCTTCGAGGACCAGGGGCTCGAAACCCTGGAACAGGACCTGAATTCCAAGCTGACCTCATGGGTACACGAAGACTGCTTGATGATGGCGACACAGGGTGAACAACAGAAGGATGGGAGGGTGAATGGAAAAGATCCCCCCAGGACTGAGCATGAGGAACCTGAAGGCCCTGGTGTCTTTCTGGTAGTGTGGCAGTGTGGGTTAGCTGAGGCTTGCACCCTGGAGTAGTCAGGAATCTGGCCCCAATATGCTGGTTGGCCTCTGACCATGGTCCCCGGGAGGCATCTGGTCTGGAACGATGCGGGAGACTCCGGTAGTTCAAAGTCTTTCCTGTGTACTTGACCCCTTCGGAAGTTTCACCCCTGTCACACATAGCCAGAAACTGCTGGACATTCCTTGAAGTTCCTGGAGAGAGAAAAGAAACCCAAAGATTGAGCATCTTCAATAAAACTATTATCCTTCCCAGAGGACCATTCCTGGCTGTTCCTTCCAACTCCCTACCTCTTTAAGAACATACAAATAAGGGAAAGAAGGAACCTAGCTTTGCTTTTAATGTCATTTAAAAAAATTCTTAATATACATTAAAATCAAATCACTGCCAATCTGTGCAAATAAAATAGTCTCCTGGATGTTGCCATACTCCTATCTCACTGTGTTACAATCTGTCCTCCAAAAGACAGACAGACACAAACACACATACGTGAATGGCTCTCTGATATTCCAAACATATGTTCTCATTGTGATAATTTTACTCCTTAGAGCCACCACTCCAAAACATCACTCAGTTTTTCTTAACATGGTACTTTCACTCCAGTTGAACTGTGTCTGCTTACATTTGTGTTCATTCTCCAAGATTTCACTTTTGTTTGCACTACTCCCACATACATAATGTAGAATGCCTTTTCTATACATTGATTCCCCTTTACTTAAAAGAAGCAAAATAACTAATTTTCCAAACATCACTTCTAAACCGTACTTCTCATTTTTATTTTTTAAATTCCATCAATAGCTGTACTATACATACATACATATATATATATATATATATATATATATACCTGATTACTAAAACTTTGAGCTCTTTAAGAGCAGAGAACTGCCTTCTTTCTCCCATGTATTTACTGCAGTATTTGGTGCAGAACAAGTTGCAATAAATGCTGCCTTACTGATCAGATACTTCTAGTAACTCTCAAAGGATGCTAGTGACCTGGCAGCTCCACTGAGTAATAAGAAGTCTATTTATCCAGAATGCCTGCTTATCCAAAGCTCCCTAAAATTTGGACACAAATATCAACAGTACTACTCAGTTCTAGGAAGATCCTTTTCCCTGGGGATTTATACCCATAGACAGGTTTATCAACTTTGGCATTACTGATATTTGGGGCTAATAATTCTTTGTCTTAGGAGTAGGGTAGGGGTGTGCAAGGAAACTTCTCTGTGCATTGCTGGATGTTTAGCAGCATCCCTGGCCTTTCTACCCACTAGATGCCATGGGCACCTCCCCTTTCTCATTAAGAATCACTGCCTTAAACTGTAGATTTGGTCCATGAGGGGAGAAATGGAACAAATCTTGCTGTGGAAGGTCAAAGAAAGCCAGAAGGATGCTGCCCACCTTCCCCAGGATTGTCTGGGTCTCTATACATGGCATGGGTATTCTGTGCATAGGATCTTTCCAAGTCTGCCATTCACTACTCATCCTCCTAGACCATCCCTCAACTGAGACTTGGGATGAAAGGAGAGAAAAACAGCTGATAGAGATGGTATTTCCTGTTTTGGGGATCCTAAAGACTGGGTACTAATTCCCTGGGTCACTTAAAATCATATCCTATCACAACTGAAGCAGTTCATTTTCATGAGTAGTTAGATTCTGGGAGCTCTGGTCTAGACCCCACGTCGCCCAAGAAATGATTCAGTCATGATTCATCAAGATCAATGCTTGATCTTTAAAGCAATAATTCATTTCCCTTTACAACTCCACCTTGGGACCTTCCTTCCCCTTCCCCACCCCCCAACAGATGCACTGATTTGATTCTTCCATGTCCCTGGAAAAGTACTACCTTCCAGCACATTAGATTTGGGGAGAGTTACCTGAGGGTCTATGGGGCTCCCCTGCCATGCTGGGCATCAAGACATCTGGGGACAGGAACTGTGGTTGGGGTGGGTAGAGGTGGGGACCAAGGAGAAATACAGGAGGGTCATGGATGACAGGGAGGGAAGAGGAGCTGGAACAACGATGCCGGGTTTCCAAAGGCTTTCTCCTCACGCTTGATGAATCCTTACAATGAGACAAGACAAAAAAAAAACATAGAGATGAGGATTAACACACAGCAGGATATGGTTGGGTAAACACAGTGAGGGAAGCAGGGGGATATGGAAGGAACTAGAGTACAAACATTCCATAATCTAGAGATGGACCCAATTTACTCGACACTCTTCCCATCAGCCCCTCTAGGAAACACCCTGACTATGAAACATCCTCCACTATAACTTAAGACACCAAAGTACAGTTCTCTTCTCTTAATATGTCTTCCTCATAACCCTCACTTTCCCAATCCTAACATCAAGGTCTTTAGCAAAGTCCTTAATGCTACTATTAAAATTAGAGAATGAGATAGAAATTTAAAAATAGAGAAGAGGGAAATTCCCTGGCTATCCAGTGGTAAGGACTGCAAGTTTTCACTGCCAAGGTTCAATCCCTAGTCAGGGGACTAAGATCCCTCAAGTCGTGTGACGTAGTTAAAAAAAAATTACAGAAGCCTCTAAAAAAACTAATAAAAACTTAAAATAGAGAAGAAATAAGAAATTCAGAAAGACAAAAAGATTGAAAAATTCTACACTCTAAATATTGGGAACTAATATCTCCCTAAATGTACAGTCAGAAACTCTCTACTCCATCTCTCCTCTTACTGCTACCCTCCAGTCGCCAGTTTGGTGCTGCCTGTCAAGTCTGTACTCACTGTTGCTTATGACCTACTTTGTTCTTCATTTGTCATTCACTTATGTGGCAAAGTCTCAGAAACATGTCTTTTAATATATGAGACACTAATATGTCCAAAACTGAACCAACATTCTTCCCAACTCCTCCCTCTGGTACCGTATTTTCTTAAGTCACCTAGACTCAAAATATTGACACTGCCCTTGATTTTGCACTTTTAATCCACAATTCCATTAGTTGCCTATGCCATATACTATCATTTCTACCTACAGGTTTTATATTTAAATTTAACTAGACCACTGCAGCAGCCTCCAATGTAGTCTTCCTATCTCCAGCCCACTGCCTCCTATAGTGTGGCCTGCAAGTTCTATGTGGTATGGCAAAGCTGATCTTTCTCACTTTATCTCCTACCATTCCTGTGCCTTTTACACTCCAACCTTCTTAACGTTCTTGAAACATACGAAGCTTATTCCACCTTAGGGCCTTTACACTTTGTGTTTCTGTTACTGGGAATGCTCTTCCCGTGGCTTACACCTTCGCATCACTGAGGTCTCTCATCAAATGTTACTTTCTTAGAGCTGATTTTCCTGACTACTCTATCAAAAACAGCCTTGAGAATAACCACTATTACCTCTTCACTCCTTAGCCTCTGGCTTTTATTCTTTATCACACATTGTCTGGGGTTTACTTGTTTAATGTCTTTATCTCCTACTAGCATACATTTCTTTTCACTCCAGTATCCCCATAAACTTTGAACAGCTCCTGGAGGACTATTATAGGCACTTAATAAATATTAAATAAAATAATTTATATGCCAGTGTATCTTATTTCTTTTTTGAGATTGTAAGATATTTTGTGTTGTTCATCCGTGTGTGCTCATAGCACCTAACCCAGCATGGCACGTGGTTGGCATTTACCAAATGGCCTGCGGACGAGGTGCCAGTCCTCTCTGCAGGTGACACAGTCGCCAAAAGAAAGACACCACTCTTCACTGGCTCCCCTTCCATCTCTCTAGTCTCTTACCAAGTCTCCTTTTGGGGTTCTTCAAAAGAAGAACCTTAAGTCTGATTCTCTTCAGAGATATGTCCTGGCTTTTTTCCTCTTTTTGCAATTCTCTTCCTCTTTTCAGTGGCTATGACTCTCAAATCTCAATTTCAATTTTATATGTTTCTGAATCAAAAGCCTACCAGATATCTATCTCCACTCAAGCTTAATACGTCCAAAATTGCACATATCTCTCCCCCCAAATATATTCCTGCTTCTCTTCCCTCAAATATTATCATTAGAGCCTTTTTTTTTAACTCAGCTAATATCTGCTTCAGTCCCCTTTATCTGCTACATTCATTTTAATTCTCCAGGAAGACTTCCCTGATTCCTCAAGCCTGGTTTAGATGTCCCCTCTATTTTGCTTCCATAGCATTAAATCCTATCATATTTATATTGTAATTGTTTATATGTCTCCTCCAGTAGACTGTAAAGTCAAGAGAGCAGGGGCTGTATCTAGCTCACTCAACACCATTTTTCGGCACAATACCTAGAAGATAAGCTCAGAAAGCATTTGTTTAAAAGAATGAATCAATGAATAAATGAATGATACAGAAGTCAGGCCAAAAGGAAGCCAACTCTCCTAGGAAAATAACAACTTGCCATTAAAGGTATATGAGAACAAATGCTGGGCAGAAAAGACCACCTTTTCCAAACAGAGTGGCCAACTGTTCAGGGCTATTTATAAATTTATGACAATAAACTAGAAAAAATGACTACCTCGTGGGTAGTCACTGGGAAAAAAACTGGATCTGAAGAACTGGTGGAAGAGACTTAGTTTTCCTTTTTGTACTTTTCTATTTTTATACCTCATATTTAAGACCTGTTTTTTAAAATTTTTATCAAACTGACATGGTGAGCAAGCTTCAATGTACTACTGGTGCTTTGTATCCTGACCTATACTGTAATAAAATCTCAAGTTGCCTCAGGCAAGTGTATGAAATTCTCAAAAGGCACATTTTAGAAATACAACCACTGAAACTATTTGAGTTTGCTGATCTCTGCTGACTTGGATATCCCTGTCCCTTTCATCTATAGATTACTGCATTAATTCTATATGAAATGCCCCAAAGATAGGACTTTAAGTCATTTTCCTTTTGCTGCCAATGCATATGCTTCATTTCAGCTTGAAAGCCCACTGCACCCAACTCGGTCATTTTCTAGGCTGGGGAAGAACAGGCAAAACAATACTTCATCCCATCTCTTCTTTTTCCTTTGATTAGTGCAATGGATTCTGACCCAGTCAGCAGTCATGGCTCCTCAGAGACTCTTCTCGAGGCTTCTGGGACTCTTCTCATCCTGAGGAAGCCTACATTACACCTTCCAGAACTGCTACAGGGAAAGAACATTCTAGCCTAGGCTTCAAGTGAACGTGTAACCAAAAAAATAATGATTACATGTCCTCATTTTTGGTGAGTGCATGTGGCTTTCCCCAAATTACAACCTTCCATTTCTCCTGCCCCTTCACCCGCAGTATATTTTTGCCTAGCAAGAGAAAGAAGATGCTCTAAATAGACAGACTCTGATTCTACTTACAAAACTGTGGGAAGAGACTGGGACCTCCTCCCTCTCTGAGACAACAGTGCCACTGAGACTGCGTGAGATGCGCCGAAAGTTCTCCGCACCATACTGATCATCCTCCCCACACTCCCTGCTGGGGCCTCGGCAAGGTGCGGCCTTCAAACACACAGACACACAGGCAGACACGTAACATCAGACCTGCGGTTTTCCCACAGACTCTGTCCCAAGGGATATGGGAGAGAATAGGGTAAGTAAGACTCACTAGTAGAGATCCAAATTAGGTATATTTAAAAGGCAGTAGCCATGGGGTCACACAGAGTCGGACACGACTGACGTGACTTAGCAGCAGTAGCCATGTGGCAATCTCCTCTCACTCAAAAGAAGCCCAATCATAGATCTTGTTCTCTTCTAACAGCCCCACATTCCTATGCCCTGCCTTATCACCAACCCCACCACTCACATCTCTCCATAATTCTTTCCCAACACACCACCCCATGCCCAGAACTATAGAACCTGAGGTGGCTACCTGAGAAGCAGACACAGTGTTGGCTTCATGGAGACTGTGCTCCATTTCTGCTGTTGGGGTCTTTGAGAGACCAAGGCGAGGGGCTGAGTGCAGCCTCCTCCCTACACCATCTGCAGAGCCTGAGGAGGAAAACACAAATACAAGTTGAACCCATCTCTTCTCCCAGTCTGCACTCAGCCTGCAACACAAAACTCTGGAGTTTTTGCTTCATTACATAACAAATATTCATCTCTGAACTCAATGGAGGATGGATTCCTAGAATGTAGAAACAGGAGTTTCAGAATATGAATAGCTTCCCATAGGCCACAGGGATCTCCAACACAAGCCCAAGAGAAGGGGCTCTGTAGACACATAGCTAAATAGTAAATATAATCAGCTTTGCTGCTGTCAGATTTGGGTCCAAGACTTATAACAGATACAGAGGAAATTACCTGACAGTAATTCTCTAGAGCATCTGCGATGGCAAGGGAAATGTTGTCTCCAGTCTAGTTAGGAAATTATCATAGTAATCATATATTAAACCACCTCATTTTACAAAACAGGAAAACAAGTTCCAGAGTCTGACAAGTAGTAAGTAGTTTAACCAGGATTAAAACTCAAGTCTTTGGATTTTCACTTCCAATTATATACTATGAGCAGGAGCTCTTCAACGTTTTATATGTGTAGTGTGGTCTTTATTTCCTCATTAGCATCTCTCTAATCACTTACATTCTAAACAAATTCTAAATGTTTCTCTCTTCCTAAAAATCTTGTGAGACTGTAAAAAGATGAGCTGCTCCAAACTGGATATGTGACTCCCAAGGGGCTTGCCCCAATACAACTAATTAAGCCTTCTGAAAGTGCACACACCCTTGACCTACATTTGATATATATGTCTATTGCCAATTCACATCTTGATTTGATATTTTGATTCTAATATGTGTACCTAACTAAAGCATGATATTGCTAATACTAAGCTAGGAGGCCAGTTAATTTTAGTATTTTCTTGTGCTTAAATGCAGTGGTTCCAATACTACCTCTGATTCACCTAGAACTTTTTTAAAATACAGCTTTGTGTATCTCTCCACAGACATACTAAATCAGAATCTTTCTGGTTAGAGCCTGGGAATATTTATTTTTAAGAGATTTCCATAAAGAATGTGGGAGAATAGCCTTAAACATTGTTAGAGGAAATGTGAAATGTTATAGTCTTCCTAGAAAGCAATCTAGAGATAACCATTAAGATTGAAAATATATTTACCCTCTTACCCTCTTGAGAATAAGAAGCAAAAATATCAGTTTATTGTGGCATTGTTTGGTTAATAACTAGAAATAAAGTAATGCCTATCTACAGCAGAATGGCTAAATACTCTATAGTATCCTCAATATCAAATACTATTCAGCCACTAAAAAAAAAGAAAAAGAAATGAATTAAACTAGATGACTTAGAGGAATTTTCAAGTATTACTGAGTTAAAAGAAAAAAATCTGTAAAATAATCCCCAACAAAAATACATGATATATATACGTCTGTATAGGATTACATGAACAGAAAAATACAGATATATGCACAATAGATTATTGTCTGAGAAGGTTGGGAGCAGGGGTAAACAGTAGGGACTGATTTAAGGAAAGGAGAGAGAAACAAATTTTCTATAATAAAAACATCATGTATGTTATGATCCCATTTATATGAAATTATTCCTCTTTTTTTTTTTAAGCCATTTCTTCAGTGACTGTGATGGGCAGCCAGATTTAAGAATTATATCTATAATGGTTAGTTTGCTCAGTTGCTCAGTCTTGTGTGACTCTTTGTGACCCCATGGACTGCAGCCCACCAGGTTCCTCTATCCATGGGATTCTCCAGGCAAGAATACTGGAGGGGGTTGTCATTTCCTCCTCTGGGAGATCAAACCCCTGTCTCCTGTGTCTCTTGCACTGGCAGGCTGCTTCTTTACAACTGAGCCACCTGGGAAGCCCAGGAGCACATTGATAAGGTAAGATGAGGTTTTTGACTAAGAATGGCTGCATGTTATTCATGGCCAAGCACTGATAAAATCCTTCGTCAGATTGAACTCCTTACCTGCCTTCCGCTTCACTGATATATAAAGAGCTGTTGGACAGAACCTGGATCCGCTTATTTGCAGACACTTTTGCTTCATTTTTCAACCAAGTGCCCTTAATAGGGACTTCTCCATGAGCCTGGCAATCTAAGAATCTAGAATTTGGAATTCCTCTAATCAAATGTGATTCCCATCTAATGAACGAGGTAGCCAGTGGAAATCTCCTGAAGAGAATAGACACTGATTCCTTTAAAGACATTTAAACAGACGTGCAGGTCACCTTCGTAAGGGGTACTGTTGAGGGCACTTCTGGCTTTGATAGAAAGCAGAATTAAGGTGCCCCTTCATGGATCACAGCCTTGTCATAGTGAAGGGGCCTGTTTAATAACACAATGAAGCTATGAGCACCAAGATGGACAGGTCATAGTGGAGAGTTCTGATAAAACGTGGTCCACAGGAGGAGGCAATGGCAAACCACTCCAGTATTCTTGTCTCTGTTGCTGCTGCTAAGTCACTTCAGTTGTGTCAGACTCTGTGCAACACCACAGATGTTGTGGTGGAGCCCACCAGGCTCCGCCATCCCTGGGATTGTCCAGGCAAAAACAGTGGAGTGGGTTGCCATTTCCTTCTCCAATGCATGAAAGTGAAAAAGTGAAAGTGAAGTCGCTCAGTCTTGTCCAACTCTTTGCGACCCCATGGACTGCAGCCTGGGGTGCAATCCCATAGGGCTCCTCCGTCCATGGGATTTTCCAGGCAAAAGTACTGGAGTGGGTTGCCATTGCCTTCTCCGATTCTTGCCTCTAGAACCCCATGAACAGCATGAGAAGGCAAAAAGATTATGAAACCGGAAGATAAGCCTTCCAGGTCAGAAGGTGTCCAATAAGGTACTGGGAAGGAGCAGAGAGAAAGCTCCAGAAAGAATGAAGAGGCTGGGCCAAAATGGGAATGACACCCAGTTGTGGATGTGTCTGGTAGTGAAAAGTTGTGAAGTCTAATGCTGTAAAGAACAATATTGCAAAAGAACCTGGAACATTAGGCCCATGAATTAAGGTAAACCAGATGTGGTCAAGCAGGAGATAGCAAGAGTAAACATCGACATCTTAGAAATCAGTGAACTAAAATGGACAGGAATGGACAAATTTAATTCAGATGACCATTGTATCTACTATTGTGGGCAAGAATCCCTTAGAAGAAATGGAGTAGCCCTTGTAGTCAACAAAAGAGACCAAAAAGCAGTTCTTGGGTGCAATCTCAAAAATGACGGAATGATCTCAGTTCATTTCAAGGCATATCATTCAACATCATAGTAATCAAAGTCCATGCCCAACCACTAATGCTGAAGAAGGTGAAGTTGAACTGTTCTGTGAAGACCTACAAGACCTTCTAGCACTAATACCAAAAAGATGTCCCTTATATCACAGGGGATTGGAATGCAAAAGTTGGAAGTCAAACGACACCTGGAAGAACATGCAAGTTTGGCCGTGGAATACAAAATGAACCAGGGCAAAGGCTAACAGAGTTCTATCAGGAGAAACATTGGTCATAACACTCTCTTCCAACAATACAAGAGATGACTCTACACATGGGTATCACCAGATGGTCAATACCGAAATCAGATTGATTATAATTCTTTGCAGCTATAGATGGAGAAGCTCTATACAGTCAGCAAAAATAAGACTTGGAGTTGACTGTACCTCACATCATGAGCTCCTTACTGCAAAATTCAGACTTAAACTGAAGAAAGTAGGGAAAACCATTAGGCCATTCAGGTATGACCTAAACCAAATCCCTTATGGTTGTAAAGTAGAGGTGATAAACAGATTCAAGGGTTAGATCTAGCAGACAGAGTGCCTGAAGAACTATGGATGGAGGTTCATAACACTGTATAGGAGGCAGTGACCAAAATCATTCCAAATAAAAAGAAATTCAAGAAGGCTAAGTGATTGTCTGAGGAGGCTTTACAAATAGCTGAGAAAAGAGCAGCGAAAGGCAAGGGAGAAAGGGAAAGATATATCCAACTCTGAAGGCAGAGTTCCAGAGAACAGCAAGAAGAGGTAAGAAGGACTTCTTAAATGAACAATGCAAAGAAATAGAGGAAAACAATAGAATGGAAAAGACTACAGATCTCCAGAAAACTGGAAATACCAAGGGAACATTTCATGCAAAGATGGGCAAAATAAAGGACAGAATGGCAAGGATCTAAAAGAAGCAGAAGAGATTAAGAAGAGGTGGCAAGAATACACAGAAGAACCATACAAAAGAAGTCTTAATGACCCTGATAACCACGATAGTGTGGTTACTTACCTAGAGCCAGACATTCCGGAGTGTGAAGTCAAGTGGGCCTTAGGAAGCATTACTATGAACAAAGCTAGAGGAGGTGACAGAATTCCAGTTGAGCTATTTAAATGCTAAAAGATGATTTTGTTAAAGTGCAATACTCAATATGTCAGCAAATTTAGTAAATTCAGCAGTGGCCACAGGACTGGAAAAGGTCAGTTTTCATCCCAATTCCAAAGAAGGGCAATGCCAAAGAATGTTCAAACTACCACAGCAACCATGCTCATTTCACATGCGAGCACGATAACACTCAAGATAACACTCACAAGCTAGGCTTCAGTAGCTTGTGAACCAAGAACTTCCAGATGTACAAGCTGGATTTAGAAATGGCAGAGGAACCAGAGATCAAATTGTCAACATCTGTTGGATCAGAGAAAAAGCAAAGGAATTTCAAAAAAAATCTGCTTCATTGACTACACTAAAGCCTTTTAACTGTGTAGATCACAACAGACTGTGGAAAATTCTTAAAGAGATGTAAATACCAGAACATTTTACTTGTCTCCTGAGAAACCTGTGTGTGGGTCCAGAAGCAACAGTTAGAACCTGACAGGGAACAACTGACTGGTTGAAAAATTGGGAAAGGGGTACATCAAGGCTGTGTATTGTCACCCTGCTTATTATAACTTACATGCAGAGTACCTCATGTGAAATGCCGGGCTGGATGAGTCACAGGCTGGAATCAAGATTGCCGGGAGAAATATCCACAACCTCAGATATGCAGATGACACCACCCTTATGGCA